GAACCAACACAAACGCGTACTCCATTCGTTTGCACTACAGTTCCTGGTTCAAAATTACACCACACTTCGGTACTCTATCTATAGCACCCTAGGCTTTAGAGTTACATGTGTCTGATATTTTCAGGAGTCTTAGATTATAAAGAGATGGAACTGCAGAACGCTGTCCAAATGAACTTCTTTAACAAGGCTGTAGTCCAGCCAATCACAAGGCCGCTACAGGTCCTTTTGCAACTTCATTTCACAAGTAGTAAGTGATGTCTCATTCATTTAAAGACCTTGTGACTTGACCCAAGACTGGATGACCTCTGAAGGGATGTCTCATTCATTTTGAAGACCTTGTGACTTGACCCGAGACTGGATGACCTCTGAAGGGATGTCTCATTCATTTTAAAGACCTTGTGACTTGACCCGAGACTGGATGACCTCTGAAGGGATGTCTCATTCATTTTAAAGAGCTTGTGACTTTGCCTAATACTGGATGACTTATGAAGGTCTTACAGAGGCAGTTAACAGATGTGGATATTTGACTTACCATTTTGAGGGCTTAATCTCTTTCATGTCACTGTCTTCAGTCACAGCCAGTTGACGACTGATCTGAGGAGCCTCCCGCATACGTTTGATGGCAAGCTCCATGACTGGATGTTCATTGGCTGCATGGAACTTCTGACGAAATGTGCGACAGCGTTCTCTGGAAACACAGAACGAAGTCGTCGCCAGTAATAAATCTTCCCATTATTAAAAATGAACATAAGCTGCGAGCTAGGCTTGAAGCAAACAATTCAAGACAGCCCAACCTTTCCATCCTCTCGATGTCTGTGAGAACCTCCCTCGCCATCTTCTTCTTAACTTTGTAGAAGCTCTCCCTGACAGTGTCCAAGGTTTTCTCAGGATCCATTCCATCTGTCTGGGTGCTACTGCTAGATGTCTGAACTTGTCTCTTAACTAGATCAATATCAACAAGTAAGGAAATTTCACTTCATTTTTTAGGAAACAACTGTACTTCTAGATCGCTAAATTACAAGAGGCTGAAAAATTTAGAGATGGGTTGGTAAGTTACGAATACCAATTTAACTGGAGTTCCCTTAATTGTGTCTGATTTGGGAAGTCTTATTACTTCAAAAATATTCAATGAACTTTAGAAATTGGTGTTGTTGGCCATTTGGAAGCTCTTCTGTGGTCTTAAAAACAACACCAAAATTGCATGTTGTTCTGGTCCATTGATAAAATTTATTTATATGTGTAATAATTACAAAAACTGTTAAATACATGTAATAACACGGTAAGTTTGACTTTCCTTTTGCTTCTGCAGAGAAGTCTTGGATGTTTATGTTGGACCTATATGTACCTTTGTCAGCACTTGACACAGCCACAGTTATCCAGTATGGCTGCTTGGTCGACAGGGCTTGATGATGGTGATCACGTTCAGGGTGGTGTCGATGGTGCGCAGCCATCCACTTGCTAAAGCCAAGGGTGTGGGGATGGGCATGACCTGACCCCAGAACACAATACCAAGAGCAACATGAAGTCCTTGCAAGCCATTTAGTATCAAGTTCACTCACAAAAACCCTTCAGGTGAAAAGCAACACAGGATTCCTCCATTACTCTTTGTTCCCTGTTTCTTGTGGGCAGATCTCTCTAATTTTTGTAATCTTCACTAACTACACAAACAGGCAATGAGGACAGCCCAAGACATGACCATTTTTTTAATTATGCTTGGAATACTACAATATTCTCATATTTCTCCTTAATTTTTTCTTTCGTTTGTAAATCAGTGCCTTTGAATCTTTTCAAATTAAATGCCCCTCGTGTCATTTTGAGTTTATGCATTCACAGATCTGTGGTACATGTATGCTTGTGAGAAAAATTTAGAGTCTTGGAAGGTCATAGGAAATGGCCCAAAGTGAAAAAATTCTGACCTTGGCTGACCAAACTGAATCTGTGGGTTTGTTGACCACACGAGGGGACGGTGGATGTCTGGACAGCAAGTAAGTCCTCCCATGTCTCCAGTCTTTGTTCCTTGTCCAAGGGGCGTGACTTGTGATGTAACGATGACAAGTTCTGGCGGAATCTATTCAAAGCAGTGCACAAGATGCACCCGAGTTGAAAGATGGGTACACTGTGTTGGACACTTTCATATTCTAGTGTGCAATGTGGTAGGTGCATGTTGGTTCAAACACTTCTTCTTTGGGAATTCAAAGATTTCATCACGTGTACTATAATTCCTGCCATGTACATGTAATGCCTTGATGCTTAGCCCTGGCCCGAAGGTTACCTCAAGGCTGGGTTTTAGAGCCTTGGCCTTAAGGCTTGTGGGTAAAAACCTTATCTTAACCTTGGCCTTGAGGATCAGGGCTTTGAATCGATCAAGGTCTGTCAACACTTTTCACCTGTTAGCCTGTCAGTATCCAAACCAGTCATTCTAACAATTCCAAAAACATACCAGATTTCATACATCTGTCCACTTTTTGTATTCAGTTCTCTTATACCCAACATGTTTGTCCTCTTAAAGCTTAACACCTTGACTGCTGACTACGAGTATACTCGTAGTAACAGGTGTATTGGATTCTACAACTATACTCTCAGGAAATAAAAACAATTGTAATGTAAATTGAATACACTGGCATCACCAAGAACATGACACAGTACACTGCTGGCAGTGGTGAGGGCACACATGTTCATCTTCAAAAATGCTCATGTTCACATGGATACCTGAAAAGTACCTATTAAATATGTGCACAGCGTACAATGCTTGGCAACACCCCGTGAAATTATGTATGGCAGTTAACGTGCTGATAGTTGTTGTATACATGTACTTACTTTCTCCATTGCACTGGTGTTGATGACAATGGTGGCACATCAGGAGGCTTGACACTAGCATTAGATCTATTGCTGAGATGAGATTTGGAAGTCCATTTATTCATCGTTGTTGCTGTGCCTGTTCCTGGGGCATTGGCACCACTGGGATTAAAATCACTGGAGCTAACTGTGTCTGATGATTGGATCAGTTCCATTGGAGCAGTGGTTGTGGTAGTTTGTAGACCTGTGGTCCTAGCAAGTCGACTGAAGTTATACAAACAGAGTGGTTTGTAAAGGTGCAAAGTACTTTAAACCTGGTGGTACTCAAACATAAATTCTCAACATTCTTTACACAGTATTGCAGTAGGAACAACGGAATGCAGTCACTGAAGACAAAGCTTTCATCATAAGCCAGTTTGTAATTACCGCATGTACACTGCACTGGAAAGCTGTGGGGTAAGGGTCGTTTGTACATAAAACAAATCGCTTCACCATGCGTCCTGAGTGTGTGCCCTTCAGTGACATTCGTTTGTGTAAGGAATGTTCAGTACGCAATTCAGTTAGAGCTTCAATTTTGATCAATTCTTTTCAAGTTTTGGGGAAGTCTTTCAACTTATGAAATTCGTCTGTGGAGCAACATATTCCACATGCTGTAGTTGGATTATTAAATCAACACTTAGTTGAACCTTCATTTGTCTGAATGACCTGATAGTTTAAACTCGTACCTATTTAAAATTTTAGTTTTCTTCCATTTTCAGTTTATCGTACGTATCTTAAAGATACTGCTTTCCGTCGAGGTTTCCTGGAGTGAGTTCATATATGAATGTCCTTGACACCCTGTACAAAAACCCTATGAGGCCGGTTGGAAAAATTTGAAGTGTTTTCTGAGAAAATGCTTTGATTTTCTCACCGCTAAATTTAACTTTTTAGGACATATTATTGCTTTTTGAGGGCTAACAAGGCCCTGCAGGGGGAAATTAGTGATATTTGTTCATGGAAATCTTACCCATTTCCTTTCCGTTAAAGTTATAGAAAAGTATTGTGAATTATACTGGGACACTATTCAGTATTATTTCTTAAATGACTTTACGGGATTGCAGGTTACCAGAATGTTCATTCTGTTCTTGGTTCTTCCTTATTTCATCTTAAGCATCTTCCCTATTTCAGCAATTTTTTAAACGATCATCTGTATCAACAGTAGCCCATTCGCGCACGCTGGAGTTATAAGTAAATCAATTTGTTTAATGTACAAATGACCTTTGCAAAGTTGCATTCGCACATGTGCAGTTTGTAAATACAAACTGGCTTATAGCTGGTGTACATGTACAACAGGAAAAGAAAACTTTCAAAAAATTGTCAGGAAAACACACTGGCTAAGAATGTTACCTGAAAACTGGCCGCTCATATGGGACATGGCGGTATAAGAACCTGACCATCTCATGAGACAAGGGTACCCTGGTTCTGAGGTCTTTGCTTTTCATGTTGTGCAGAGCATTGAGCAGTCGGTGAATGGCTTTAAGTTTCTCTGCTAAACCTCTGTGATTGCGGAGGGAATTCAGCCTTCATTTTAAAGACAAATTATTAAATGTTATTTGCAATCTCTTCAATAGGTAAAATAGACATGGTACGAGCCTTTCTTGTGAAGGGGAGTGGAACAAAATGATTCCAGAAAAATTGGAAGTAACCTTCATTGGATATTTCATATTGTTATTGTTTACAGATGATGCCAATGTGTCTACTTGCTCCTGACCTCTGTTGTTTACCATTGGCCAAATAAGAAGAATTGATGTACATCTTAATACAAAACAGACTCCCCACCAACAGGTGGATCCAGAGTGCTTTTAGATGCAGGAGGGGGTTGGTGGGCAACTAGTGCACAGATTTCGATAAGATATTTGTTGGGCACATTTCTAAGCATGCCCCCAACACACCATCTCCCGCACCGTAGTTGTGGGGACATACACTCGACATTTCACCTAATGTTACGACTGAAAACGTTGTGGGGAATCAGAAATGTCCCCACAACTTGGTTCAAATTTCCCTAACAAAAGAACTTGTCCCCTGAACGCGGTGAATGCCTGCCCACACACACACACATTCTTGCCTTGTAAGTTCCTCCTCAATGTCATCATCTATTGGCTTGGTCTTGGATACGGTCCGAGTGCTAATATCACTTTTTGTAGAATCTGCGGACAATGTGCTGGCTGACCTCACTTGAGTGTAGTGGGAAGATGAGGGAACTAATGTCACCCCAAAGGATGAGCCAGACGGGGGACAGAATGTTACACTAGTTTGCTGGATACCTGTGTTCTCATTCTGCCTTCTGGCTTTCTGTTGAACAAAACAAATTTAATCATTACTGGCGTAACTTTTCTCTAAAATTTGAATTTTTCGTTTCTATACAAGTAATTCAATTATTACTCCTCATAACTGTATTATTCGACATCACTCACTGGCTGCTAGTACTATGTAACCATAGGGAGGCCTTGTTAGGAAGTTTGGAATTTAGATTGACCAGATTTCATTCATTTTCCAAACTTCTGTTCTCTCATATTTTCCCACATTCCCTTGCCGGAACTCCCATTTCTGTCATCAGTTGAAACATAAACTATCAAAGTGCTAAAACTGCCAAAGAATTGAGATTGTTTATCTCCTGCTGATTTTGAGAAGTACTGTCCCACATCCTCTCGCTGGGATTTCCAACACTGTGGTTGATTGAAATAAAAACCTGTGAGTGATGTGCGCCAGAAAATGTCATGGGACTTTAAGTACATGTTGGGTTAAACTTCGTTTTTTGAGATAACATCCGTAGGATTAGGTTTTTTTTCATAAATTTGTGTGGGTTTCTCCTGTCAAAAAATTGGATTTTCACAGACATCAAATAGAATAAAGAACTAATAAGCTTTCTAATACTGCATATGTACTGATTAATCTTTCTGAAATGCTACTTGTTGCCAGTCTTTATTATGGCTGGCAGAAACATGGTCATGTTGGGCTAAGAGTGGAGTGACCTTTAGGTTACTCCCAGTCGCCTGGGTAGCGTAGACTTGCACTTGTGACAACGCTGCTAGTCCATAATGTAAAACAAGCCGCGTACGTATGTAGGGGCCTATGTTTAATTCACTTTTATGAAAAATAAGCTAGATAAGCATGGTACTGGAAAGGTACTGTACCTATAGGAATTTACATTTGAGAAGCTCTTGATCTATTTACATGTGCACAGTGCGGTGAAGCTAAAGCCAGAAACCGATGATGTACTGCCATTATCTGAGATGTGAGTGGTCACTTAAAATTAAAGCTGAAAACAGCTAGCAAAACGGTGAAATGTAAAAAGTTCCCATAATTTTGTACAGACCAGGTGTACAGAAAAGCTGAAATTCAGGGTCATAATCTAAAAAAAAGCTGAAATCAGCTAAAAAGCTGAATTCTCACACCCCTGTATTATACAGGCAGGCTTCCTTGGTAATCAGGCACCGTCTTCAGCATTTGTCTTGAACAAAGGAAATATCTGATATATCAAATTTACTGAATATTCAATTTTCAATAAATTGATTAACAAACCATCTAACACCAATGGACCTCATCTACAGGTAATGATTATGTCTTTTGATTTTATATTCTTTAGCTAAATTGCGTATTTACAAATACTTGTATCAGTTTATCGAAGGTAATCTGGCATATGTTTGTAGATAGTCTGTTGTGTTTATCATCAATTATTTGGATCAAAGTGAAACACCTGCTTGACTTTCTACGCTGCCTGATACAGAGATGATAACTTTAGACCATTCCTTAATTCATAATTAGATTCCTTGCTATTGGCAATTACTACTAGACAGGATTCAAACTCACACCCTCTCACTCAACTGACATATGGCAAGTCCTATACATGGAAACTAACTTACCATCTGACGAACTGCATAAAATTTATGAAGTGAATTGGCAACCAACTGGCAGTACTTTTTAAAACAAATTTTAGCCACTGACCTCTAAGTCTGCCACACATTTCTCAAAGTTCTGGCCGCCTCTTTCTGCCACCAGTATTTTCTCAGAGTCTTGCAAGTAATTCTTTATGTATGTGAAGCCAGCGGATGATACAGCCTCCTGATTGATTTGGGATGCCTGAGCACCCAGGTGCTTGTCATGCAATGCTTTGGGTGTGTGCTGCTTGAAAATTAAAAGATAAGCATCATCAGGTGTGATGGATGCAGAGACTAAAGTCATCCAAGTATCTCTCCACTCATCTAAATAATGACTTCTAATTCAACTCAATGAATATACTACTGATACAAGGTCAAGACTACTTGGATACATATAAAATGAGCTTTACTTGTTTGTCTCGTTTGTGAAAAGAAGTGGTGAGTTAGCACTTGATGTTTTGATCAGGATGTTTAGGTCATCGTTAAGAGAGTGAAGAAGATGACCAGAGCATCCTGCTTGAAATATCAAGTTCAAACTCACTGAATCTTTTTGGAACCACACCTCTTCCAAACAAGATACATGTACATGTATATCCTTGGATACAGTACCTCTGCAAGCCTTGTACAGTTCAGCCTCTACCATAGAAAGCTTCAAATCTTAGGGAGTATCTCAAAAGTCAGGAACGTTTGCATTTTGTTGGACCATTCCCAAATGGAACACTAGCATTCCATTGGAACATTCACACATCAGCAGGAATGGTCCACAGCACAGACCATCCTGAGGCAGAGTTCCAATGAGAATGTTTTGTTCCCAATGGAATGGCCATCCATTCTGAAATAAAAACAATTAAGGCATTCCAAAAGGAATGTCCTGACCAACTGGAATTATGAGATGTTCCCTTACTTGTTTCTTTTTTGTGGTTAATTATAATTCAACAGACTGTGCATGGTAAGCAGTTACCAAACTTGGTCCAGGTTTTGAATTTCATATTTGGTAGAAAGTGTCAAAAACTATTGTAGGGGAGGGGTACAGAAGCGTGAGCATTACCACTTAGGTTCAATATCCCTCCCCCCCAAAAAATGAGATGTTCGTTGACACATGTCATATATAAACTTAAGCTGTTAATACAGGTTTTCAATTTATGCTTCATAACATGACCCGCAAAGGCATTTCAGGAAGTGCACTATGTCTGTGAAAGTACATGGATTTTCAAATCTGTATATTTCTATTAGCAGTTTTGTGTATGCCAGAGACATAAGATGCACACATTTTCACGCATATCGACGTAAATTTAATGCTGACCGTCAAAAATTATTAACTGAAAATCCTCAATACAATCTAATTTGCCCAAATGACTTGCATAGTTGTTTTATTTTCAATGTATACATCAGAGGGCCCAAAAAACCACTCAAATTAAAATACTTGTTTACATGATAAAATGGTAAACTGCCTTCTCTTTACGTATTCTTTGTGACTGGGTTCTCTTAACAGGTCTGTGATGAGAAACTACAACAGACGTGCCAACCTAAAAAGGTATTTAAATGAGCCTTCAGTTCATTTAAAATTCTAACCTATTATGTGGTGATGCCCTCAGGAAGGCATACGACAGGTTGGCAGGTATGCTATAATAATCATTAATGTCCATTATCCATGACAAATAAGATGAAGCTTCTTTTCAAGCTTGAGTGATTATCAAGCAATAATGTATTTATACTTTAAGTAAATTTGTGTGTTTATCCTGTACTTGAAATTATTACCAGGATGTCCATAGACCATGCTTCGTGCATCATCCCCACGATATCATCCACTTATTCAAGGACTACCCTTATACTTTTATAGTGTTATTTATGTAAACAAGTTAGATGCACTGAAAGGCTATGTGTATGCGAAGGTTAGTCAATGTGCCAATTTTGACTTATACATTTGTTTTAAAGAAAAGAGCTTTCATTTTTAGGAGCCCTTGTATAAACTACGTATCCATCCTCGTCCATCTTTTCTCTTGTTCCCATCTGTTTTTCCTTTCCCTGTCATCCATCTGTTTAGGTTTACTACCAACCTTGTGGACAGGGTTTCCATTAAAGAGCACCTCAAAGGAAAACATGTTTTCTCTGATTTTATCTGTTCAAATAAATATGGAAGAATCCACATCGAATGCAGTGTCATTTGTCTTCAGAGCTCATCCATAACAAGCTAAAAGGGCTTTTTTTTCCCTGTTCATGCCAAGATGTGAATTCTAAACATGCTGAATGTACATTGCATCATTCTGAGAAAAGAGATGTGACCAGTCGACAAAGTATTGTCAACCGTCCCAGGTTTAATGTCACTTTTTTTAGTGCGCTTTTATAATTAGTTGAAGTGCGCCCTCTCTCGCTATGTATCACAATGTCTAGCTAGTTCTGTAGGAATGCAGCGCTGCTTTGTACAAATTGTAAGTTGTGGTGTTGCGTTTGTAGGAGTTATCTGGTACAATATTTTGAGCAGTCATTTTTGCTTGTCAAGTGTCTGGTCCAAACCTTCAGTATCTAACTACCCATTTGTATGATTTTATGGTGCCTTCCCATTGGCCTGCTTTCTGTTTGATAAATCTTGGCCAGTCAGGTGGTTAGGGTTGGGTAGTTTGTGCATGGTGGCCAGCCAACAAAAATATATGCCAGGTTGGGCCAAATTGGATTTGACCGTCCTTTGACTGCACCAACATTAAAGGGGGTTAACGTAACTTGGATTAATCTGAATTAATAATTGAATGTACATGTAATTGTTCTTATTTTCAATTTTAATTAAATCAGCAGTCTATTTTCGTCAATTGGTGGTTTGTTTGAAATTTCTTTACTCTGCATCCCTGTTTCCTTATATTTTGGGTTATCCACTGCCCGCCTCTCTCTGGTAAAATTTAACCACTCGGTAACAGAGAGAAAACAAGGGGAACCCTCGCCCTGTGTTCATAGTGGATAAACCCTTGTGCATGCCAAACAATGGCTACAAACAATGGCTACATGCACTGTTTGGCATGCACGGGTTTATCCACTACCAACACAGGGTGAGGGTTCCCACTGTTTTCTCAGAATGACGCAATCTACATTCAGCATGTTCAGAATTCGCATCTTGGCATGAACAAAAAAGCATGAACAGAAAAAAACCTTTTTAGCTTGTTATAGATGATCTCTGAAGACAAATGACACTGCGTTCGATTTGGATACTTCCATATTTATTTGAACAGATGAAATCACNCCTAGTCCTTCTGTGGACCTAGCACTATCGTGCATGTACATGTGTAGGTCATCCTATACCACCTGGTATTTTATGTACATGTAGCCCTTCCATAACATCTTGAGTAAGTTAATTTTGGTAGTTCGTATTCTCAACAATATTGCTGGTGGTTGTAAAACTTTCAATTCCTTATTGAATTGATTAGTGCATGTCGATAAAAAAAAAGGAATGTAAATCATAAATTCAAAACGTATGTTGTGGCAAGGCCGCATATTTTATGCCTAAAATGTAAATTTTGGGGGTTTCTTAAGGTTTTTTTGCTTATAACCCTCCTATGCAAATGTCATCTGGTACAATATTTTGAGCAGTCATATTTGCTTGTCAAGTGTCTGGTCCAAACCTTCAGTATCTAACTACCCATTTGTATGATTTTATGGTGCCTTTCCACTGGCCTGCTTTCTGTTTGATAAATCTTGGCCAGTCAGGTGGTTAGGGTTGGGTAGTTTGTGCATGGTGGCCAGACAACAAAAATATATGCCAGGTTGGGCCAAATTGGATTTGACCGTCCTTTGACTGCACCAACATTAAAGGGGGTTAACGTAACTTGGATTAATCTGAATTAATAATTGAATGTACATGTAATTGTTCTAATTTTCAATTTTAATTAAATCAGCAGTCTGTTTTCGTCAATTGGTGGTTTGTTTGAAATTTCTTTACTCTGCATCCCTGTTTCCTTATATTTTGGGTTATCCACCACCCCTCTCTCTGGTAAAATTTAACCACTCGGTAACAGAGAGAAAACAAGGGGAACCCTTGCCCTGTGTTCATAGTGGATAAACCCTTTGTGCATGGCAAACAGTGGCTACAAACAATGGCTGCATGCACTGTTTGGCATGCACAGGTTAATAATTATAATAGTTATAATTAACATCTCCCCAACGCACAAAAAAAAATACATCTTGAAAATGTACAGGTTAATCCACTACAAACACAGGGTGAGGGTTCCCACTGTTTTCTCAGAATGACGCAATCTACATTGAGCATGTTCAGAATTCGCATCTTGGCATGAACAGAAAAAAACCTTTTTAGCTTGTTATAGATGAGCTCTGAAGACAAATGACACTGCGTTGGATTTGGATGCTTCCATATTGATTGGAACAGATACAATCAGNAGAAAACATGTGTTCCTTTGAGTTGCTCTTTAAAAGACAGCAGTGCTTGGCTCTTACTATGATTTTTATGAACTAGTAATAAATTACCAACAGAACTCCAGTGTTCACTTGCATAAAAGAACACCAAATTTACGTCAAAGGATACGATGAACATTCCTTCGATAACTATTATTGTCCAATTTGAAGTAAATAATTATTCTTTTATCGTATGAAAAATGGCAGTAACAGAATCTTGACAGCCACTAATTTATTAAGCAATACTCACCTTGGAGGATTGTTCAGACTTTTCTGCTGTTTTCGGAGGTGTAAATCCCAGCTTGTGACTACCAATAAAGAAAGCAGCTGCATGCACCTAAAAAACAAACATCATCATAAGAAATCTATAGAACAAGTCAAATAGGAAATTTATTATCCAACAAGTGGTTATGCGCATTTTGGCACAGCAGTGTAAGGCTTCTACACTAGCTTTGCTGTGTTTAATAGGCCTTTTTTTGTGAAAATGAGCAAAAACACTACACTATGTGAAATGTTCACGTGGTACACATACGGTCTACAACCAAATATTAACATCTCAGGACAATGACATCACAGTCTTATGCCATTACTATCATCTTTTGATAAGTATGCATGGTACAAAAAAAGAGAGAAAGAGGCCTAGACCTTAGAGGTACATGTAAATAAAAACCACAGTAGCCAGGGGAAATGTGAGCTTAAAGAAAAAGAACATCGCACCTTTTTTGGCAAAGTGGCAGAGAAAACTCTGAAAACCAAGTTACGGGAGTCCAGATCCACATCCCCAATGGGCTTATAAGCAACATGCTGTGGGGTGAAAAAACCCTTGGAGAGGTGGCTTTGACGACGTGAAAACTGCTCGTTCCAGTCATCTGCAGTGTCAAGGACACATGTTGTGCTGGTCCGCTGTCGAATACGGTCAGCACAATATGGCAAGGCTTGCAAGGGGATGAAGAAGATTGAAAGACTCTGAACATGTTGAAATTTGCCCAGACAAGAGAAAACAATCTCTTTAATTAGCTGTTGCCGGCTAAATTTAACTAAACAGTCAACATTTAACCAGACACATGTGCAGTTACTGTTTTTTGAGGACTTAAAATTCTTTACTATGACAAATCTTTGTCAGGTTCTGTGCCAACATATTCATTTTAACTTTGCATTCGCGAGATGAGAATCAGGCCATTTTACATTTTGGACTTTTCCCTTAAAAATTTTCCAATCCAGAGCCATGCATCAGAAAAAAGAAACTATTAATTAGGTCTAGGCTAGTACCAGGGTTGGCTGATTTAAAGCACCAATTTAAATCGCCATTTAAGTCAAATGTCTTCTTCTTTAGAAATCAACATTTTAAATTTTTGTTGTTTCAATTGTAAAATTATCTTGCTACTATTTGATAATTTTTCCATTTTACATGTAACTGGCAAATACCCTCTGTGAGCCATTTGGGTTGCACTACACTAAATACAAGCCCATAAAAAACAGTGCAAAATCAGACCGAAAAAGCACCACTAACTCTCAGGAAGAGGTTGGCCTCCGTTTTTTCACTGGAAGATACCCACAAAATAGTAGTTAAACTATGTGCTCAGCTCAGAATGTAGCCACCTTCCTCTATCCAAAATAGGCCCGCAGTTGGGGGTTTTGTGAAAGAAATACTCCGAACTGGAAACCGTGATTCGGGATTTATAGAAATATTTCTATGATCCCTCTTGATTATGGCATGTCTTATTGTAAAAACCCAGTGGGATCACATAATGAGCTCGCATGCAGAAATACCACCATTTGGTGGGATGCACCCTTAAGTTCCAAGTATTGATAAGAAATTTGTATGAAAGCACATGTGTTACACGTAGGTTGGGTTGGCAAGATTTTCTGATCAATTCATTTATTTTAATTTAAATCAGCTTGGATTCAGTACATGAATTACATTTAATCATGATTTACACGTAATTTCACTTCATTTGAAGTGTCCACTTTGGAGTTCAACAAGGTGTACATCATACCTTTTAATCTCTACAACTGCACATGTACTTGTGATTGGTGGATTTTTTTCACTCATTGGTATTTAGTCATGAGTTCCATGTAGGTGCTACACTGTATGCATTTCACCTGGGTTTAGACAATTACAGGTGATATGAGATTATAATCAAATTACTTGATTTCATTTTTGTTGAATTTTATAACAAAAGAAACTAATAATCAAAGATTAACAAACATGATGAAAAATTTGCTGGCATTAGAGGTTGAAACTGATGATTAAGCCGATTTGTCCAATTTTATAAGAATGAACAAGATTCCATTTATATTTTAAAAACAAATTTGATTTAAAGTTTAAAAATCTGATTTTTAATTGAATTAACAAAATAAATAAATAAAAATTGCCACCCCTTGCTGGTACAGGTATACTGAATGTGGATTAATATTTTCATTTTTCTTCTCACAACCCCTCAAACACATGACATGATGAAGGGTAACAAGAAGCCAGGAAACCTATTGAAGTTCATTAAGGCAATATCGATGGAAGCACTGTGGTAAAGTCCATTTTGCCTTGTCCTGCATTTGCAAACCTACGAGAGAAAAAGTTTTGGATTTGCGCCTGCCATCCACATACTCCAAACTCCCCATAGTAAAAGTTCGTCATTTCCAACTAGTTTCATTCATTATTTACCCACAGATAGAGGCTCAGTATCCATCACACATTTCAAGTTCCCAAGAATCATGCAGTGGTAAAGCTTAGCCTTGCATATTTGATTTATTCATATCCACAAGTAACCACAATTCACACACTTAGTACTTGGACCAAATTGTTCTTAAATAAACTCGATTTTTATGGCTTCACTTTCACTACTTGACAGTTTGACTAAAATGGGATAATATTTCGAAAAATACCGGACGTCACCAAAATGACAGGAACACTGTCGTCTGAAGACAAGTCAAATAGGCTGAAAAAGTTATACCAAATTTTGTGTACGTACACTGCAAACGTCATTGCACAGGGTATCAGTAGTACCTTACCTCTAAAAAATCTGCCAGTTGGTGTCTTCTGAATTAGGAATAATTTTTTTAGTGGTGATGCACTGAAGAAAAAAACACTTTTATTTCCCATATCTTGATTTCCCATCACTTCCTTTCTCTCATTCTCCTATTTAGCTCCTTCGGCTACATTGCCGAAGAAGAACCTCTCCAGTACACAAGTTGGTGTTAATAGGATTAAGAGAGACATGCTTTAGGTCATTGAACCTGACTGAAAAAAAATGAAATATCCCATGAAATAGTGACATCATGATAAAGAAAAAGTCTAATTTTTTACAATAACCAGTTTTTCAGTGATTTAAAGTTAAGTAATCTTTGTACCATAGCACTTTGGCACTTTAGTTAGAGCGATTGCTTCATACTTTGCATATTGCTAGACTACCACCCAAGGATGTGCCGTGAAGATATTCGTCATGATGACGACATCACTTGTCACGTGACAAACCCACAAAGTTGAATTCTTTTTGGGCTTGTATCTGTAGAACCATTTGTCCCAGTGGTTGATATTTTGCACAGAAACAAATCCAAATGTGTTATATGTGAAAATGGGATTTAGTCATGATGACGTCACCACCTGATTTTTTGGATGATTTTTAATTGTTATCATTTTGACACTGTTTTTGACATGAACTTTTTGCTAGACCTCCAGCAGGTCTACCGGTATTAGATGTCTAATTTGTTGGAAAATCTTGCAATGTCATGATGACGTCACTGTTCCATTGAGGAACAGAACAGGTGCTGAGGGCATTTTGACTTGCGCGCTCAACAGTATTTAATTAGTGCGCGTCAAATCGAATCTTGTTGATTTCTTCTTTTTCAGGCTGATTTTCCCCACTTTGCCAGTTACCTGTTTACAGTTTAGACATTCTTAAAGATGTTGTTTCTGTAAGTAGTCAATTGTTCATGATTTTCTGTTGTGATTATTCAGCTGATATAGATTTGAATGATAACGGTGTGTTTTCTCAGGTATCTGTGCCTATTTGCGTGTTTAGAAATATGAATGTTTTTCTGAACTCTGATTTTTCCCTGGAAAGTGTAAGTCCTTCACTGTTAAAGCTGAGTTATATTCATGGAAGTTGTCTTTAAATCACAGAGTTTTTGTCCTACGGTAGGAACGCACGGTTTATTCTGTTACCCGACTTAAGGATCGTTCTGTATTACTGCTTCTTCTAGCTGAATCTGTCGGTGCTGTTGAATCTGAATCCGTCGGTGCTGTTGAATCTGAATCCGTCGGTGCTGTTGAATCTGAATCTGTTTACAACTGGTGAACTGCTTGATACTGTGGATTGTTGGGGTGAAAAGTTGTAAGTTTATTTCTGTGTCCGTCTAGTTCGATCCGAATAAGCTGTTACGTCATTTGACCTAGGCCCTACTTTACCAAATGTATATGTTAACTATATATATTTTTCTTTACAACACCGTAACCAAATCTGTTGATTTCAACTGTTACTTAATGCTGTTCCTTTTCCCGATTTGATTCTTTTCAGAATTGAATAAAACACAATTATATCAATACTTGCCTCCACATCCACCCCCTGCCTCTCCAGTCACCATAATGTAAGGTTTTCAGTCCAACATATTATGCAGTGTCTGATCATTGTAAAATTCACTCGGTAGGTTAACAGTCAAACTTTGATTGCATTTCTGAAGTGACGTCATTATGACCTCATTCATTGATTTTTTGGTGAGTTTTTCACGATTTACAAGTATACGAATTTGCATGCATACTACTATCTTCCTGTCATAATGTCTGGAAATTAATCAAGTCCAATTACTTACAAATTCTGCTAAGAAATGATAAATTTCAATATCTCCAATTTCAATATGCGCATATTAGCATTTTGTTTTTAAGAGCCAAATTAGCGCTATTTACAAGTATGATTGTCTGATTATAATTGGGTACCCGTTGACCTTTGCCCTAAATTTGGCACACACTATACTTGCGGCCGCTACCACTAGGGCACAAGTGAGGAAAACGCCCAGTGTCCTGTCGCACAATTTGTACTAGTTCCAGCATTTACGGTCTGAGCAAAAAGCAAGGACTGGTCTGACAGACTGGGACTGTGGGAATCCACCCTTTTTAAACATTGAATATGGTTCAGCAACTTTGCCCAAATGTGTATGCTAATGTAACTGGACCAGGTTCCTCAAGCTGGGCTGTTTTATTAGCAAACAACCACTTGCGATCTAAGGCAAAATAAAAGGGGTTGGTGGATTGGCTATAAACAGAAAAAGAGGAAATACATGCAATAAGTAAAATGGAAACTTAACAACACACTTAAGAACAGATAACTATATGCAGCAGGAACTATATGTAACCAGCCACCTTGAG